ATATATATATATATATATATATATTTATTTATTTATACGTCAAGATCGGACTCACTGCTACTCTGCAAGATTAGGTTTTTGAAGATAACTGTCAAAGATCCAATCTCTGTGATTGTCCAAAGACTCCAAGGGGAGGGTTGACCTAGCGATGTGGAGGCTTCGGTCGAGTCAGTTGACAGTAATAACGAAAGAGATCAACGGATCGCGGCTTACCACTAAAATCGATGGAGTGATAAGGTCGCGGACCGGCAGAGTGTCGGCTTGCTACGTAACTTGTGAAGTTGCGAACTGGCAGAGTTTCGTGTCGGAGATGGAGTTTGACTGACTGACTGTTTATGAAGAGCCTCCTTTTTATGTTCGCGAGTTAGTGGTGCCGAGTGCAGGCGATGCTCGCATGTGTTACTGGTCTAATCTAGGATTAGGATTAAGGATATCGGTTGTGAAATGGGATACTGGGATATGTGTCTAAGACAACTTCCATCATCAACCATTTACCGGATATTCAATAGTTTAGAGTCACATGTGTCATTTATTACAGACAACTGCTATTTTAGTTTGTAATTCTTAATCTATTAACTTCTTTTGTTCCTCGGGATAAAGTTCGTCTATTCGACACTTGGTTCAAATATTTAATCGAATAACTTCGTCCCGAGTGGATTATTAGTCTAAAAAAGCGAATATTATTTGGTTTTTCACTATTGTAACCTCCTATGGTAGAAACAGATAGTCTACCGGTGTTACTTGTTAATAACTTTTATGGTGATGACGAAACTTCTAATCGAAGCCTCTAAGCTCGAACGGCGCGGCGCGCCTGCTAGGTCATTCCTGTTTCTCGCGGCTCGCGCGCCGTGCGCTCGGTGGGCCATACTTTCGGCAATAGGTCGGGCGGACACATGTATTCGGCTATCTTTAACCGTTAATATCTCGTTAATTATTGCGAGCATTGCAAAATGGTACAGGACTTTTCGACTCAGTTTAGTACGCTCTACCTGCGTGGGGCCGTATATTCATGAGACTCTGTATATATATACAGAGAGGGGCATTTAAAACAGCTCACCTGAATAACTCGCTTGTTTTTTAACAATAGAAAAAGTGTCAAACAAAAAGTTGCTTGATTACGAGGGGCACATAATGTGATGTCAATAATTGTTTTGTAGAAGCGTAAAGAATAGGCAAAGATCAAATTTGTTTTTTTAAATGGAATGATATGTTTTTTTACTTACTTCTGATAGAGCATTTTAAGGCGAATACAATGACCTATAATTGAAGGTCAATCAAAGTTATGCAAGGTCAATAATGGAAAATAATTGAATGTAATGGAAAATAAATTGTTTCAAGGCACTCTTCGAATAATTTCGTATCTTCTCTTCTTGTTGATATACCGCTAATCGTTTAAGTATATGTAAATACATATTTACATACCGTTTAAATTAAATCGCACATAGTATTATCCATGTTTACTAATCAGTTTGAATTCATCTATCGATCAAAGTGCGTGTCTTGCGAAATGTGTTATACGAAAGTGGAAAAAGTCGATATGATTTTCGTCTATGGTAGATGTTGCTAAATTATGAGAGAAGCAATACGTTTGTATGCTGAAAGATTTCCCGATCGTGTCCATCCCTCATTCTGTTTTTCCAAACATAGTACAAACTTTTTAAAAAAACGGGAAATGTGGATAATAAAAAAACGCAAACAAATCAAGAAAGCAACTGACGACGGAAATTCAATGAACATTTTAGCTACTGTAGCACTAAATCCACATATCAGTACAAGACAGCTTGAAAGTGGTATTAGTCGACGAAGTTTTCTGCGAATACTCCATTCTAACAAATTTTATCCCTTCCATATCTCACTTTATCAAAAGTTACATGGCAATGATTATCAAAATCGTGTACAATTCTATGAATGGGCACTACAAAGACTACAAGAATTTGATATGTTTGTCACTAAAATCTTATTTACTGACGAAGCTACATTTACAAACAATGGACAAATAAATCTTTGCAACATGCACTATTGGTCAGTAGAAAATCCACATTGGATGAGAGAAGTAGACAGGTAGAGACCTTTGTCTATAAACGTCTGGGCCGGAATTTTTAATGATAAAATAATTGGTCTTCATTTTATCGATGGACCATTACATAGTCGCAAGTATGCACAGATTTTATGTACAGAAATATTGCCACTTATTAGAAGATCTTCCACTGACTGTCGTACGACAATTAATGTAGTATCAGCAAGTTGGATGTCCTGTTCATTCTGCACGAATTATTACTGAATTGCTAAACAGAAAATTTGGAGATCGTTGGATTGGTCAGATAGGAAATAACAGATGGGCCGCAGATCTAACATCTATTGATTTTTATTTGTGGGGAAAGTTAAAACAATAAGTGTACAGCGAAATGCTGATAACAAGAGAAAATATGAAGTAACATATAGGGTGCGGCAGAGAAACTTACTTTTTTGAAAAACGCGCCAAACGGCAAGGGGTGAAGGTAGGAAGCTGGGAGGGGGTGCGTCCGAAAGGATAGGTCCTCAATTTTTGTTCCCCCCACAGCCAGTCTCGATCATGCTTTGGACAAGAGAGCATCGCGCGTTTGCCGTCGAGGCATACTTTGGTAATGGCCGCTCCATTGTCGCCACTCAACGTGCCTTTCGAGCGCGCTTCATTATTCCTATGGGGTTATTTGAAGTCTATTGTTTACAACGATCGACCAGAGACCCTAGCTCACCTGAAGACAAACATTCGGAACGCCATCGCCGAAATACCGGTGGACATGCTTCAGAGAGTGACGCAAAACTTCAGAAATCGACTCAATCAGTGCATAGACAACGGCGGCCGTCATTTGATAGATGTAATTTTCAAAAGTGCATGAAAAAAAATTTGATGAGGTGATCTGTAAGAGGAAAAAAGAATTATACCGATATCTGCAATAGTTTCGTTTTTATTAACCTTTAAAAAAAGTAAGTTTCTCTGCCGCACCCTGTATAAGAAGAGCTTGCGTTGCGATTGATCCGAATGAAATTCGTCGTGCAGTGTTATCTGTATCGACACGTTTCAGAAAATGCGTCGATATTCAAGGTCATCATTTTGAATACTTGTTGTAACGGTAAGTACGCAAATAAATAAATTAGTGAAATATTCGAAAAATGCCTTCAAACAATTTATTATCAATTACAGTTAACCTTGTTATGTTTAAATAAATCTTTAATGTTTATTTATATACCGTAATACACTTGAACAATTAGCAGTATACTAACAAGAAGAGAAAACACGAAATTATTCGAAGAGTGCCTTGAAACAATTTATTTTCCAGTACATTCAATTATTTTCCATTATTGACCTTACGTAACCTTGAATGACCTTCAACTATAGGTCATTGTATTTTTCTTAAAATACTCTATCAGAATTTAAATAAAAACATATTATTCCATTAAAAAAAAACAGATTTGCGCCTTGACCCTTTACGTCTCTACAAAACAATTATTGACATCACATTATGTATCCCTCGAAACCACACGAGCAACTTTTGTTTAACACTTCTTCTATTGTTAAAAGTAAGCGAGTTATTCAGGTGACCTGTTTTAAAACAATGGCCCTTCCTGTATATACGTCCCGCATATATGTATATATTTATGATATTTTATGGAATTTCTTGGATATCCTACAAATATCATCCGTGGGATCTCACATATGCAAATACTTGAGTAGACAAATAGTGTCCTATTTAAAAAATCGAATTGATCTATACTTGACTTGACGCAACCCAAGGTCAAACTGATAAGATCTGCAAAATAGATCTTTTTATACCTTACAATTTTTGTCTGAAACGTTTCTTTCATAAACGTCATTCTCCCGAATAAATCCAGAGTTCCGACTTTTTTGAATATCTTATATCTGTCTATATATTATATTATTATACAGTTAAGATAATTAATTATACATAGAACTTTTTGGTAAATTTTTTCCTGTTTTATTTTTTAAAATAATCCGAGTCACTTTCTATAATATGTCGGGTTCTTTTAAGGTTTTTTTTAATGATTCAATATATCCTTCCACATTCTATCGCATTAATAGAAGCGATTACGGTTATTTTATTTCAGAACAGGGCACCTTGACGATAGTACGTCGAAGTTCCAACAAAAGCAAAAGCGGTGGGAATTTCGAAAATTCACCACCGCATAATCCTGATACTTCGTATCTATCGAGCCAATCCGTCGATCTTGAAGAGATTCTCGATAACATCGATCTCACGACGGATTCGCTTCCTGCCGTCGACACACCTGATGCATGCGATAAAGCTGCCCTTAGGTATTCTATTATAATGCAAATGTAATGTTATGCTAATGTTAATAGTTTTGCTAATGTATAATATTTTAGATCTAGGGGTAGAGATTTATTAATTTTAGAAAAAATCCGCAATTTTCTGGTCATTAATGCAGAGCATATCTGGAGACATGGTAGTGGTGCTAAAAAAAACGAAGCGTCTTACAGCGCGAGACAATGCTCCTTTATGCAATTGTAATTTATATAACAACGTTTCGTATTGAATTAAATAATCATTATTGGAGCACATTATTACAATATTCGAGCGCTAATCGTAATTATTAGCAATTATGATTTATAAATTACATAAATAATAACTATTTATCAAGTTGTTAAATTTAGCAATCATGTATAATTTTAATTATCAATTGTATGTTAACTATAACTTTTTTGTAAAATATATTTGTAACGTTTTGTAACTATTGCGCGCTAAATATTTTGTATTTAATGTAAGATTAGAATTGCACGTCAAAGAAAATATTCCTTTAATTCCTCTTCCAAAGGTTAAATAGACTAAATTGCATTCGCAATCCCGATTTGTCGTGTAATTATTGGAAAGCAGTTGGAAATAAACGTTTAATTTAAAAGACACGCTATTGATGCACAGAAAACGACTCTGTGATATCTCTCTTTTGCAGATTGAGGTGTTTATTGAGGCAATTACAACATGGGGAGATATCAGCCGAATTACTTCAACGGAACTTGCACTACGCAGCTCGCGTGCTCGAAGCTGTTTTTATCGATGAGACCAAGTAAGTTTCTTTTCGAATGAGAATTTCAAACCTTTCATACGAATGGAAAGCAATAGTCTCTGTACTAATCAAAATCTGTAATTATTTCAAGTATTCCAGTTTTTCTGCCAAAATTTGCAGGCACTGACAGCATTCTATATAATGATTTCACTATCCTAAATCTTGCGGTTAATAATAAATCTCTTTTTTTTTTGTAGACAACATTGCCTATATCATAGTTGTTGAATATCTGACAAAAACAAGATTAATAACATAATATATTATTATATCAAATAATATAATTTATTAATGTGATAGCATTTGAATGTCGATCATACATGAACGAATATGTATAGTAAACTGTTTTCGCATTTTACGTGATTAGTAATTGTTGATTGATTCGATTTCATGAAATATGATGTTTGCAGCGGAGTTGATCTATCAATTATCAATTATCATGACTATATCAATTATCGGTCTATTTTGTTACTTACTATGGAGTCATGACCTTTAACACGACACTATTCCTTCCCATTTGCTAGGTACAACTGAAATTCAATGTTTCATGTCTATTTCGTAATGAGAACATCGAAAACTTTTCGTTTTCGCGATGCGTCGTGTCGGATGAAACTCACAACCCCTGTTCAATTACTAAACCATCAAAGATTTAACTAACCATGAAGGACAAAGGCTATTTCCCTGTAAGGGATCAATTGTATAAGGCGTATAAACGATAAATCTTCGACATTAGAGAGTCAATGTGTTTTCTAACATCGACAAATCACACGTAACATTATCTACAACGATCCATCAAGATTCTTCCTCGGATCCTTACAGGATCCTTCCTGTAGATTTGCCTGAGAGAAATTGACGTCGACGCCTCTTTAATTCATAATAGTAGTCACTGATCTCAGGGGTTGTAAGTTCACTCCTCACAAGTGAATTTTGACTTCTAGTATAGTTTTACATGTTATTACAGCTCGTTTTATGCATTTCGTAGAGTCTGAATTAAGCGCACTGAAGTCACTACTTCTGATGATTTGTTATTTCGACCTCTTACGTTATTTATACGGCTGAATTGCATGATTTTAAAATTTCTACAAATTTCCATGCCTAATAATTTTAATTAAGACGCGCTTAAAATTATATTTGTTTAAATAAACATAAAGTTTTTATTTAATTTTTCTAACATTGCTTGAAAAATTTCTATATATAATATCTCGTTTGTTTTAAGCGTCGCGCATTGTATAGTAGACGTCATTGATGCCTTCCGGCTTGAAATTTATAGTTTCCTTCGATCGTACACATCATATCTCACACTGTTAAAAAAAAAAAGAAATTTGCTTCTATTATAACGGAAGCAAAGAGTGATGGCAAATTTTGTCTATTTTTTGGACCTCGAATTTCAAACTTTTTTTTATGGCAAATAGTACTATTAGATGAAACATTAATCCCAGTAAAATTTCAAGATAAGCATAGGCACGATTTCGGAGATACAAGGGAGTGAAAGTGATGATTTCCAGTCAGGGTGTATTGCATAAGGAAGAATGTGTCGCTGAAGTTGAATAATAATATTGAGGGTATATTCTGTCGAATGGATTATTTTTGGTGAAGTTCAATCCAATGCCGAAGCACCCAACAGCTTTGAACTATGAGAAATATGGCACCTCCGTTGAAGAATTTACATTAATTAAGGCGCATATGAAATCTGGTTACCGTGGTGGTATCATTACATTTTTGTTTTGATAGATAAAAAAAACTGGACGGGATTCTATTCGTGAGTACTATTGTACTTGTGAAAATGAAATGTGCTCAAACTGCGGGTTGTTGCAGTCATATAATGACAATTGTGTAGTTTTCTTTGAATTTGCTCAATATCATGGAATAAAAATACCCAATCCTAAAATATGTATCTGCAATGTATCTATTACGATTCACAAAACAACCCTATGTAGTGAGAGGCAAGGGGACTCATATTAAAAAAGCACTCCGATCTGTGAGAGGTGGCGTCAAGTGTCATTTCAATTTCATCTATCTCGGGAAATTTTCTTGCTAGACGAAAACTAAAGTCATATTTGAATCCGGCGTAACAAAATTCATAAGAAACGATATGTTTCACTTCGTTAAATATATATTTTATTCCTTGGTGTGGACACTTGAAGAGTTTCGTGTACTTTCATAGGTTATGAGAAACCATCTCTTTCATCCCTTCATATCTCCGGAATCGTGCCTATGCTCATTTTTAAATTTCTCTAGGATTAATGTTACATTATACAGTATTATTTGGCATAAAAAAATTTGAATATTTGAGGTCTAAAAATGGGCGAAAAAGCAGGTTTTTTTGCCATCACTCTTTTTTTTTTAAACAATATATAGATATGATGTGTACGATCGGAGGAAATTATCATCAATTTCAAGCCGAAAGGCATCAATGATGCCTACTGTACAAGATATGTGCGATATATACATACATCAAATGCGTGATACTACTTACATCTTTATATACATCTCTCCATCCCGAAGATTATGAAGAAATCTTCAAGTTGAAGGTTTCGAAACTGAAGCTAAATGCTTGATTTCTTTTCTAATTTTTTGCTTACACAATTGCAACAAATCATGTACATACAAAGGAAATGTGAAGCTCGCTTATATATCCCGCATATCCTTTATTTTCAGCAACGATACTATGCAGCCATGAAGCACGACGCATCGAGTAATATTTTATTTTATTCTAACTAGCTTTATTGTAACAAATTCCTAGATTTATTGCAACGTGAAAGACAAGAATGTCGATGAGAACGCAGCAGTGCGATGCCGTAGCCGTAATATTAAAAAAAAAACACATGAAATAAAAAGAGAAAAAGGAAGCAAAAAAATTAAAACACTGTAATTTTGTATTATTCTAATCTTTTTTACACATGAACTAACAAGCACTACCGCAGGGTGAGTTCAGGCGGGAATGAGTGCACTCGGTCATCACGTAGGGGGGCGGGCCTGACGTCTTCATCCCTAGGGGGCGGCTTGGACCCAGATGGACCACAGGGCCATACGGTGGTAACCCAGAAACGGAAGCTTCGCACCCCCGTATGGGCAAGGTTGCGAAACATTCACATTTCCAACCCCCTTTACGATCCATGTTCGATTCCATACAATACGATCCTTTGATTCTTCTTTGTTTTCTATTTGCCCTATTTGTCAATTTTCCCACAGTCCGCACCGTATCCGTGCCACTCTTTGCCGTCCTCTTTTTCGAACGATAGATTTATGCTCGTTTGTCTTAAGAAGCTAGATGTTCTCTCTTTCGAGGACAAACGTTGGTAAACATGACGGCGAGCGACAATCATGAATTTCGTCTATGTAATATAGAGATATTTGAGATAACTATCCTATAATATTCATAATATTTAAAATCAATAAACAACATAAATGGCAATTTAAATACTTTTTGTATATTAGGAATTATTTTTAGCATCTAATGGATATTTTCTTCCCTTTAATCATTTAAAGCAACGATATGGACGATCATTAGCGATATAAATGATAATTAATTAATACAATTTTTATTACAAGCGTAAATAAAATTATACGATTTTGTTTCTATTATTATTACAAGTGATATTCTTAAGTAATTTTTAAAATATTTGCTGATATCAAAGATTATTTAATTAGATATCAAAATGCTATTATAATTACTGAATATCAATAGCGGATAAGAGTTGTTAAACTTGGAAAAACGAACAATTTATTATAATTCAGTAATTAAATTTTTTGTTACTATAATCTATAGCGAATTGATCATAAAACTTTGAGGATATATCAAAGAACTAAAGCAAAAACAAGTTTGATACATACATATTTTATTATTCACTAATAAAAATCTTCTATATTTGTTATTTCCAATATTTTATTTTACATGACATTTAATATTTTATATAACATTTTATTTGCTCTTTATCGATCGTTCTCAATATTCAGTTAACCGCTGAATGTCAATCTGCCAATATTCATCACTGGCTTGAATTTTGTGCACGCGATTGACAACTAATCAGTGTCATGGAGAAGTGACGATATTTTTAAGATATTACATTTCGAGATATATCTTTTCTTCGGGCTAAATTAAATAAAAAAATGTAATTAAAATTATAATAATTAATAGACTTTCGTATATTAAACAAATTGTTCTAACAAGTTATATAAAAATAACATTCCAAGAATGAATCTGGACACAGAGAAAACCCGCGAAACGTATAATCTTTATATCTTATCTTATATTTTCTTTTTTATATTTTAATTATTTTTTTATGAAGAATTCAAGATGTCGCTCTCCTCTGTAAAAATATACGATAATACTAGAGCACTAAGTGGAACGTGTTAATGTTTCTTGATCTTTTAATGGACAGTTCTTTCGAACGTTTCTAGATGTGTTGATGTTAGCACAAAAATTGAAACACATAAAATAGTCATAATAGTGGCTTTAATTAGTTCTTTAATAAACTTTTTGTAATATATATATATATAAAAACTTATTATTATTTTAATTATTTTATATCTGATAGTCTCACAATATAAAATTCGCATGTTTATATAAATTGTTGTAAGTAGACGATTTTCTTAGACAATATTATTAAAGATTACACAGACATTTGTCAGTTTTTTAGGATTATTGACATATATTATTACAGTATTGTTAATACTTAATCAAAGAATTATACGTATGTTACATATAAATAAATGCAGAGACAATTATACTTAATTGTTTTACATTTTTACCATGAAAGTATTTATGAAAATATTTGTTTCGCAACATGTAATGAATAATTGAATACAATACAACAAGAAACATTAATCCTATAATTATCGAATTACGTTTATCAATTTATTTATTTTTATTTCTGCATCTCATACACGACCGTTGAGTCTTGCTAAGAGGTTAAATCGATAAGGATTGATCGACTATGAGGATTAAATGACATTTTTTAGTACAGCATGGAAATGTTTTTCTTGTCTTATCTCTCTCTCTCTCTCTCTCTCTCTCTCTCTCTCACTCTCACTCTCACTCTCACTGTTTTTGTCTCTAGTTACGTCTTTTCTAGATTCCTTCTAGGTGTAACTTGCTCAATTTGTCGGATGTATCTGCCTGCCGTGCAACATGCATCGTTCTCATGATAACCGACTGTTTCCTACTGGCACTATTCTTGCCCGAGAAAAGTGCATGTATACATATATGTAAGACATTTATCGCTGGGCGGTCCTTAAGCATCCCCTATAAATTTATCGCGTTGTGTGTATATGTGGATATGTATAACTGTGCATATAAAAGATTCGAAAAAGCTGCGAGAATGATTACAAGGATGGATCGAAATGATTTTCAGCTAGAGAAACATTATTGTAAGGCGACCAAAAAAACAGAAGAAATATTTTCAAATCATCTCACGCGCTGGCATGCAGGGATGTTTGCTTGGATGTAGCAAGGCGTTTAGATGTGAAACCTTTTAATGTGATACATGTTTTTCCTTCGTATTTCATATTATAGAGATGCCGAGAGTATGGAATCAACTGTCACGTGTCGTCCAGGTATACACCGTAGGTTCGTTTCTCCTAAAATTTCCATTTTCGAGCGCGAGTTACAAAAATGCGTACAAGGATACATTTTTTGCATTTTGCATTTTGAGCTTGACGCCATCAAGCTCTTTTTGCATGAAAAATCGCTCGCTAGTGCACACTCTAATTCTCATTATATACAACGACGCTTTCTTTGTATATGTGTGTGTATATATATATATATATA